ATTATTGTGATGTTTTTATCAGCTGTTTGGACTCTCATTCTGACGGCACCCATTCACTGCAGAGCATCCATTGGAGAGCAAGTGATGCAGTGCTACATTTCTGATGAACAGACAAACTCATCTACATCTTGGATGAGGGTTAGTACATTTTTCAGCAAATGTTCATTTTTTGTTGAACTATTTTCCCGGCCACTCGATTTCTCTGGTAGTCTCGTCCACAGTGAAACATGACTGTATTTTGAAACATCAAATATTACTGATTAGCTATGATTTGTCACATTGCACAGCAATTTTTGCTGTTAGTTTGGACAGAAACATTATTTGACTTTGGAAAATGTATAATGTAAAAAAGCTTGAAGCACATAAACATCATAAACCAAGAATGCTTTGGTACGTTTAGCTGATGGTTATTTTTGGATGGATACCTGAAAGTTTTCTGCCAAACATCTACCAGGTAACAACAAATCTGATTAATTTCTCATTCCAAAAGGATAAAGTCTTCATTAATGCAGACCAAAAGGAGATTCTTGAGGAAGTCGCGGAGAAGATCAAATTGCAATTGTAATACATATGTTATTCTAATATTATTCCAAACATTTGACTGGTAGTTTAACTGTCCCTGACATTTAAAGTGTTTGTTTTGTCTTTATTTATTTATTTATTATTCCAAACATTCATCTACTGTAGTAGTTGAATTGTCTTAAAGGTAAGTGTTTGTTTTGTCTTTTTCTTGTGTATTTTACATTTGCATGAAATCTAACAACTAATGAAGAGCTACTGTAACTCTACTGTACACCAGTCATCACCAACCAGATGTTGTTGAGTTACATCTTTCATATGTTCAACTTAACTGATTTCCACTAAAATATAACAAGCAAAACACATACTGTATAATCTAAATATGACCCATTTTACTGTCAGATAAAGCACACGCAGACTTTAAGTCCAGCACATTGCTGAATATCAATGAGTGAGGGGGGGAAACAGGCGTTAATAAAAGGATGATTGTTGCCGCTGGCTGGAGTAGGCAGAGGCATGGATGGAATTGTGCCTCTATTTCAATGCATCTATTGCACATCAGCTGTAAGGGTTGTAACACATTCCCAAGGGCTTATTCTCTGGATTTGTCTATAGGATCCAGTGGACATAAAGACCAGCACGGAGCCAGAGCCGGAGGCTGAAGCTCTCAAACCCAGTCCTGTGGAAGCTGCAGAAGAAAATAACCCGTCAGAGGAGGTCAAAGCAGCAGAAAAGACAGTTATGAACTTTTTCAAAACATTTGTAAGTGCATTTTAATTGCTTTATTTGTTTTCATGCTTTAGTGATTCGAATGCTGTTCTAATTATCTTTCAAACTACATTTTTGTTTTAATTGCACTGAAATGCATGAACTCATTGGTGTTTTAAGCTAAGCTACAATGATCAGTTTCAAAATGATTGAGAAACATAAGCATGCAGTTTTTTTTATAGAATATCATTTATAAGAATAAGAAGTGTGTATTAGTCTATAACTGAACAATCTAGATTTGTAGTGCCAGACTGCACTGATGCATCTTTACTCCATCATTGTGGTATTTGTTACCCTGCGTCTTTAATCTGTTCAACTCTGCTTGGCACTCTGCTAAAGCAATCCTTTGGACATGTCAGACTGTGGCAGGCTTTTGTTTGCTGCATAATGTGAGCTCACAAGGGAGGCCTGTGCGTTTGGAGTTGTGATAAAGCACGGGAAGGCCTACGCCATCTCCAGAGGACAATGGCTGACTCAATAGCAGAAACATGTTCAGATCGGCCCCTGCCAGCGAGCTCTTTGTGTGCCTGTGGCAAAGCAAGCCCGGCTAAACTGCGTCTGGATTTGACAGGCATTATCCTCACAAAAGATACATTTTTGATATCTCAATCTTCATCTCCGTGCAGATGAGCAGGCCCGGTTTGGAGAAATGGAGTACCTGAAGGAGCAGTATATGCTTAAACACGCCACTCTGATGGTGTTTCACAGTCACTCTAATGTTTACGTGTCTGCGTTCTCTTTTCTGCACGCAAAGGTCACTCCGACCAAAACAAGCAAAGAAGCCAAAGCCACTCCTGATGCTTCAAAAGAACAGGTAATAAAACCTTGACTTTCACAGCATTACTCATTCATATTCATGAGAATTATATTATATTATATTATATTATATTATATTATATTTTAGTAAGAGCAATCTACAGTACCTATTTCATACTTTCTGCTTAAGCTTTTTATTTCTGCATAGGATTGCTTTTAATGATTATTATAGGGCTGAACATTTTTAAAGTAACACCCTAAATTCTGTTTTTTAGAACTTCTCTCATTGGGCTTCAGCTTCATTCATTCATTCGTTCATTCATTCATACATTCATTTGTTCGTTTCTTCGTTCGTTCGTTCATTCAAGAAAGCTTTATTAATACATTTATAAATAAATATAAAATAAATGTAATATGACATTTATTTATTTCAGCGGGCTTTATTTATACATTTATGAACAAGTAAATATAAAATAAATACAAAATTTATTAAGTTATTAATGTATTTATTTAAGCATGATATTTTTTTTTTTTACAAATGTATGAATAAATACATATAAAATATGTATTTATTTACTTATTTATCTGTCTAAGCATGCATTATTTATTTAAGCATGCTTTATACATTTATGAATAAATATAAAAATACAAAATGTATTAATTTATTAAATTGTTTATCTAAGCATACTTTATTTTTCAATTTATATATACATAAATTAAATATAAAATGCATTTATTTATCTATTTATTTATTTTTCTGTCTAAGGATGCTTAATTCATTACATTTATGAATAAATAACTAGAAAAATAAGAAATAAAATATATTGATTGATTGATTGATTGATTGATTTACGTATTGTATTGTATGTATTAATCTAAGTATGCTTTATTTTTTATATATTTATAAATAAACATAAAGAAATACAATTTATGTTTAAATAAATAAATAAATAATTCAGGCTTAGATTTTTTTGCACAAAAAAAAAAAAAAAACTAATGTCAGATTATTGTCCTAAATTCAGATGATGCTTGGTATTTATTGTCTTAATGTTTGTTCTTCAGTCACAGAAAGAGACCCCACCAGCACCATCAACAAATGTGAGCCATTTCATTTACATTACATATTTTATTGCTTTTATAATATTTCCACCTTTTGCATAATTTTTCTAATCATATTTTAGTGAACACCATAAGCAATCCAATAACGCCACAAGAACCCTGCTGTAAAAAAGAGTTGGTTTTGAGAAGTGCTTTGTTGACAATGAAGCATTATAGAAGAATAAATAAAAACCGTATACCCACCTGCTGTTTTGTGCTTGAAATAAAACAAACTGCACTCTTTTCTAAGGTACAGGAAGCACCCAAGGCACCTCCTCCTCCTCCCCCAGCGCCACCTAAGATGGAAAGCAAAGCAGAGCCGGCGGTGAAGAAAGAGGACACGTCTGCAACAAAAGCAGCGGCAGCAGCTGCAACAAAAGCAGAGGGATCTGCCAAGAGCAAAACTAAAGATAGTGCATTAAGCAAACTCTTCCGTTCAAAGGTAAGCCCAAACCTGACAGCAGTAGCAATAATCCACATTAATAAAGCCTTTCTGTTTGGTTCTGGGGTGAGCCTTGGACTCTTATTATACATGTTAAATCTATATGAAGCATTTGTGGCACACCATAACAGAGTAATGTGAATTTGAGGTGTTGCTAGGCAAGGTGGTGTCAAAAGTTCAGGCGGCGACAACCAGTGGAGCCAGAGCTAAGACGTCAGGAGTGGTAAATGATAATAAGCATAGGCTATTCGGATATTAACAGAACTGACCCATTACTGTTAACTCAAGACATGCAAATTAATACAAAGAGCTACTGTTATTTTGCCCTTTGTGTGAGAGATCTGTAATCAGAGCCTAAAACTAACATTTTGCCACACCAGCCAATGCCAAAACTTACCAGTCATAAATATTTTTTACCAGCCATGAAACTGTGTGCATTATTTCTTTAAATAAATTAGTTAATTAATTAATTAATTCAAACATGCTGAACAAATTGAGGAAACACATCCAATTGCAAGTATTATTATTGTTATTATTATTTAATCAAATGATGAAAAATAAACTATAAACTACTTCTATAAAGAAATATCACTATAATACTATTGAATTGTAAAGTATTTCATAATAATATTTTTAAATTGTTATTATTGTAATTGTAATTGTTTATTATTATTATTTAATCAAATTATTAAAAAAATAAACAAATATTCATAAAGAGATATCACTATACTATTGAATTGTAAAGTGTTATTATTATTTTTATTATTATTATTATTATTATTATTATTATTATTATTATTATTATTATTATTATTATTATTATTATTATTATTATTATTATTATTATTATTATTATTATTATTATTATTATTATTATTATTATTATTATTATTATTATTATTATTATTATTATTATTATTATTATTATTATTATTATTATTATTATTATTATTATTATTATTATTATTATTATTATTATTATTAATCCAATTCAATACAAATCAGTAAAGAAATATAATTATAATACCATTGAATTGTAAAGTAGTTTTTTAATATATTTTGAATGTAAATAATAATAATAATAATAATAATAATAATATTATTATTATTATTATTATAACACAGGGTTCTTACACCTTTTCTAAAGTCAAATTCAAGCACTTTTCAAGCATTTTCAAGGTGCATTTTCAAGCTTTTCCGGCACTTTCGTGGTTCAAAATGTATCACATGTCTGAATTGCATATAACATTGCATAATCTAAATAGCCAACATAAAATATATAAATTATAAAATTAAAAAAAGAAAGAATTTATCACAGGATAGGGCTGCAGTATTATGAGAAAATCATTATTGTTGATCGTTCTTGATATTGTAATACAGGGTCTCTGCAGGATTTCTAAATCAAATTAAGACCTACACAAATAAAATTACTATTGTATGAGGGGGGCAGGGCAATGTCTATGGTAACATATTAAACCGTAAAATGTCTGCAAAAAAAAAAGCATGATTTACAGTTCAGATACAGGATTTCACCAAAACAAAAAGATTTATAAAATGATCATCTTCACATTTCAGCCTTTAAACCATTTTTTTTTTTTTCAATAGAAATAGAAACGTGTGTCTGGTTATAATGCTAAACGGTTATAATACATAATATCCAAAATGTGTTTGCAGTGTTTTCACACAAAGGCATTATACGTTACGCCATTCAATTAGTGGAAAACTCACTGGAAATAATGAATGAATCAGTGCAGGTCCATTACGGGGACATCATGCAGCCACTGCCTCATGTCACAACAGCTGCCGACTAAACCATGTGACTCTCCATTCCACCACTTCATAACTGACATCAGATTTATCCAGTGACCAGAGGCTCTTGTAAAGGCTTTGTGTAACCAGTGACTCAGTATCTGTCCCTGCTAGGATAAACGGCCAGTGTAAAGTGCCATAGGAATTGTAGATTATTGCAAAATTAATGCCAATATTTGCTTGCCTGCAGCCTGTTGTGGTGGAAGAGAAAAAGCCGGTTGAGGTGCAGGTAAATACATTTAGCTGATCGATTGTCTCTTTGTGGGCTTCATGGTGGTGGGACTGTCTTCCTAAATAAAATCATTCATCTACTATTTACACCTCCGTACTGGGCACTTTCTATGAACAGTGTTGCACTACTAACACGCTATCCAACTTTTAAAATTAAATAAGTGTCCAAACTTTGACAGAAACCATTGTGGGAAAACAAATATTCTCAGTCAGTTTTTACACATATTATAGTTTTGATTGTATTCATAAAGATCAGCCATTCAGGCATGTTACCGAAATAAGTTTATTGGACATAACATTTTATTTGTAACTATAAACCAACATTTGGTCCCAAAATATTTTTAAATGATTTAGGCTTATCTTCAACCCTGTTACCTATTTTGGATTTTTAAAAACACACAAAAAAATGCATTGCATTTAATTTCCCATACAGCAAAAAAAACAAAAAAATTCAAATATATTTTTAAATATATACAAAAAATGGCCAAAAAATATATTAGCTAAAATATGTTTCAAAATATACTGTATGTACATAAATATATTTTCTACCAATATATTTTTAGCCATTTTTTGTATGTTTTTGAAAATATATTTATACATTTAAAATATATTTTCATAATTTAAAATACTCCAAAAAATGCAATATTGCAATATGTAAAAATATTAAACATTATTAAATCATTATAAATCTACTTTTGATCTCTAGTAGGCCATCCACATTTGTATTTAGCCTAAATGTAGGCTACTGTAAGACTGGAAATGTATTTTCTTGCTCCGAAATACATTTAGGTTGAAACTAAATATATTTTCTATTTTAATATATTTCATTGATCTTTGCAACGTATATTTAGCATATATTTCAAGTATATTTTGGCCACAAAAAAAAAAAAAATTGTCATATGGGTTTACATGCAATTTAACAATGTATTTTGTTAATAGGGTTGCAAACTATCGATAGATAGATAGATAGATAGATAGATAGATAGATAACTAATGATTCAGTCGTGCGCTTTTTCACAATCAGTTGACCATCTTCTTCAATCCTCTCACTGTTCTTTTCTTTTACTGTATATATGAAACGGTCTTCTCTGATCTTTCTCTGACACATCAGGTCGACGCGTCTAAGAGCAGCACTCTCGAGGCCGCAGCCAAACCTGAAGAACCTCCAGCACCAAAACCAGAGGAGAAGAAACTAGAGAAAAAATCCACTTTTGGAAGCAGGTTCAAACCCAAGGTAAAGGCCAGATGAGTTGGAGTGCAGGTGTGTGCGTGTATCAGATGTGTTAGTGCATGCAGTAACAGATTTGTGTGGTTTGAGGTACTGCTCGGCCAGGTGAGCAGCAGGATCCAGGCAGCGGCGTCCAGCGCTGCCTCCAGCATCTCCCTCATGTCTGCTGCAGCGGTAAACGCCGCTATACCAGACCCTTATACATTACCCAGCTGCTCTGACACGCGTGTCTGTGTGTGTCTGTGTGTGTCTGTGTGTGTCTTTTCTCTGACACTACAAGTGAAAATTGAGTCAAAACACAGTGGCACAGTTATTAATGACGTTAATATTTCAGTAATGTAATATAGACTGTTTTCTGAATAATTCATTTACACTAAAATCCTTTACTTTCATATGATGTATTTTTCTTTCTTTCTTTCTTTCTTTCTTTCTCTTTCTTTCTTTC